AAAAAAAAAAAAAATGAGGACATTACATTTGCATCGTGCACGTGAGCACATCAGCACAGGTTCACGTAAAAATAGAAACTTAATTTAAGGCTATTTCTCATACTATCTAATAATAGAGCTGCAATGTTAGTGCTAAAGATGCATCAAAACCCTGAAAATTAGCAATGGAGAATGCCACCTCTGGAGGTGGGGCTGTTACTGTTTATGATTCTAATTACAATAATTAAAGGTTAAAAATGGAAAATAACTTTCTATTGGTTAACATTAACTTTTTGAAAGAGAGAGATTTTTGCTATAGGGTGCATGCTCTCACCGGAGAGACAGAGAGATAGAAAGCGACTCTCACCGGAGAGACAGAGAGATAGAAAGCAACAAACAACCACCACCACCACCCCCAGGGGCCACATCACAATCCCTTCTCCATCCTCCTCTCAGGATTTTGGGCATGTATGCACACACGCCCAGCATGAGTGTTAAGCTGCCAGGTTCAGTACTTGGACCACAGTTAACATGGGATTCCAGCAACATAACCATTATACCAACAGCTGATCCCAACATTAACTTTAAAAAAAAAATATTTGAAATTACTTTAACTTTATTTCTCATTATCATTTTCAATTTGACCAGAAACAGAGAGAGAGAGAGAAGAAGAAAAGTGAGAAAGTGAGCCACTAGGTTTGGGACACAAACTATAGTTAGCCATGTGTGGGAGTCCAGCATCCTTAACCACCACACTACCTGCCAGCCCCAACACTAACTTTTTTTAAAAATGGGAAAACATACAAGTATTTCTTAATTCAGATCATTTTTTCTTAGATATTTCATACTCACATACTGGGTTCTATTTCAACACGTGCTTACTGAAAAGATTTTCACAAAGCTTCAGCGATCCTATTTAAAACAAATTTGACAAGGAAAGCAGTAGCACTTGTGAAATACCTAAGCATAAAATGAGTTTCCCAGCACAGGTCGAAATATTGTGTTTACTGACAAGACTATACTATAACAAAAAAAGAAATCAAAATGTTTACTTACCAGCTTTCACTATATGTATTCAACCGAAGAATGAGGAGTTATTTTGTTACAGGAATCCCTTCCCTTTAGAAATCATTGGGATAAAAAGCTTCAAAATACATCCTATTCATTCAGCTTAGTTTATTCTAAAAATGCTTAAACCCCTGGTTCTGAAATTACCCTAACAGTGAGATTTTTAAAACTGGATCACTCTTATTACTTGACTACAAATCAAGGATGGTAAGATTTGAGGGGTACTTTGGAAATAACTCGCTAGTTTAACACTTCCTTCAACTCTACAGTAGACTTTAGGAAATGAAAGGGACCAAGTGAAAAGTGGTCCAATATTCGGGTTTTTACAAAAAAAATTAAAAAAAAAAATAAGAGTCAAGAAAAAATGATTTGCCCATGGTGAACAAGCTAACTCTCTTGACTTGTAGACCAGCTTTTCGTGAAGGACCCCCTAAACCAAAAAAACAGATATAAAAAAAAAAAAAAAAAAAAAAATGAGGACATTACATTTGCATCGTGCACGTGAGCACATCAGCACAGGTTCACGTAAAAATAGAAACTTAATTTAAGGCTATTTCTCATACTATCTAATAATAGAGCTGCAATGTTAGTGCTAAAGATGCATCAAAACCCTGAAAATTAGCAATGGAGAATGCCACCTCTGGAGGTGGGGCTGTTACTGTTTATGATTCTAATTACAATAATTAAAGGTTAAAAATGGAAAATAACTTTCTATTGGTTAACATTAACTTTTTGAAAGAGAGAGATTTTTGCTATAGGGTGCATGCTCTCACCGGAGAGACAGAGAGATAGAAAGCGAGAAATAACCACCACCACCACCCCCAGGGGCCACATCACAATCCCTTCTCCATCCTCCTCTCAGGATTTTGGGCATGTATGCACACACGCCCAGCATGAGTGTTAAGCTGCCAGGTTCAGTACTTGGACCACAGTTAACATGGGATTCCAGCAACATAACCATTATACCAACAGCTGATCCCAACATTAACTTTAAAAAAAAAATATTTGAAATTACTTTAACTTTATTTCTCATTATCATTTTCAATTTGACCAGAAACAGAGAGAGAGAGAGAAGAAGAAAAGTGAGAAAGTGAGCCACTAGGTTTGGGACACAAACTATAGTTAGCCATGTGTGGGAGTCCAGCATCCTTAACCACCACACTACCTGCCAGCCCCAACACTAACTTTTTTTAAAAATGGGAAAACATACAAGTATTTCTTAATTCAGATCATTTTTTCTTAGATATTTCATACTCACATACTGGGTTCTATTTCAACACGTGCTTACTGAAAAGATTTTCACAAAGCTTCAGCGATCCTATTTAAAACAAATTTGACAAGGAAAGCAGTAGCACTTGTGAAATACCTAAGCATAAAATGAGTTTCCCAGCACAGGTCGAAATATTGTGTTTACTGACAAGACTATACTATAACAAAAAAAGAAATCAAAATGTTTACTTACCAGCTTTCACTATATGTATTCAACCGAAGAATGAGGAGTTATTTTGTTACAGGAATCCCTTCCCTTTAGAAATCATTGGGATAAAAAGCTTCAAAATACATCCTATTCATTCAGCTTAGTTTATTCTAAAAATGCTTAAACCCCTGGTTCTGAAATTACCCTAACAGTGAGATTTTTAAAACTGGATCACTCTTATTACTTGACTACAAATCAAGGATGGTAAGATTTGAGGGGTACTTTGGAAATAACTCGCTAGTTTAACACTTCCTTCAACTCTACAGTAGACTTTAGGAAATGAAAGGGACCAAGTGAAAAGTGGTCCAATATTCGGGTTTTTACAAAAAAAATTAAAAAAAAAAATAAGAGTCAAGAAAAAATGATTTGCCCATGGTGAACAAGCTAACTCTCTTGACTTGTAGACCAGCTTTTCATTCCTCTGGACCCATCAACTCCCTTTCACAGAAATCAAAAGAAATCGTTCTTCCTCCTCTCTTTCTCCTAACTGTTATGCACTATTTCCTTTTCAAGCATTTTGCAAGAGAGAACAATGTGTTCACCCTTGAAAAGACTCTGATTAGGATGACCCTCAAATAGTATGCTTTTGGTAATATCATCATCTGAAAAGCAGCTAGAGGATCCCAGATCCCAAGAACTTATACATCTAAATGGGGTCACTTTTCTCTTACAACCAAATGTGTAGGGTAGCCTCAAAGAAGGTACAGTTTTCTAAATCAATTGCAAAGAGCCCCTGGAAGCATATCCTCAGTATAAATTGTTCACAAATGGTTCTAAAGCTCTTGCCTAGCTTTGACTTAGGAAAACGCTGTAAATACACAGCTGAGCTAGATGTCCTGCCTGCACATGTTCTCTACAAAAGAAGTTCCTATAGAAGTGCTCCCGGGCACTTTTAAGGGCTTAAAAGCTTCCTTCTCTGTGTGGAATCAAGATCCAGACACCCTAAAATAACTGCATTTTGCAAGGTGGGGAGAGAAATCATACATTTAGTAACGACCTATTAACACTTGGTTTGAAAGCCCATGATTGCTACTTCTTGGCTTTCTTACCCTAAATAAACTATGTAAGATAAAAGCATGCCCAGAATCCCCAAATGACTATGTTTCCTGAATTCTTGGAATTATCAATATAGCATGTATCAATTAAGTTTAATATAACTTGACAGATTTACAGTGTCATAAAAATGATGACATACAATGTACTTTTCCAAATATAGCCAAGTCATTGCTGTTGCTATTACACAATATTCAATAAACACCCTATGCTAGAGAGTGCTTGAATTATTGTATGATACAATACAATCTCACCTCGTTGGGCATAGCATAAGAAACCAATCTCCTGTCCACAGGGCCAGCTTTTCATACCATGGTATGCCTTGCATCTTCCCCATGATAAAAGAAACTAATAATTATTCAACAATAGACTATTTCATGTCTACATATCAACTTCTCATAAACCCCTCAAAGTTAGAGAAATGACTCATGATTTTTACACTACCCTACCAAAGTGGGTGTAGCTAAAGGGCTCTAAATTCCTTTTCCTCCCAGAGGAAACAATTAGACCTAACATCAGACATTTATATGGAACTTGCTGTTCAGGGTTGGCATGTGTTCGCACTCATTTCCATAATTGCATGATGTAGCGTACTTCATGTGCCCTTTCCTTCACTAGCCAGCACATCTGGATGCAGAGCTGGTGACCTCTCCAAAGGAATGGCGACCACCCCACATCGCCTCCTCCTGGTCTAACACTACTTGGTCCAGTTTTGCTCCAAATCCAAAATGCATTCAAGTGCTTTGCATTTCCTTGTTTGGTGACTTTATTAATCTTTGGTCTTCACAATCAACTCCCCTGCTTGCCGACTTTCATACTCCAAATGGTGTTCTAGGTAAATATTACGCTGCACGTAGTGGGGGGAGTTTACCTCTGATGTTAGACTGACTTTTCTTTGAATTTCAAGTAGTAAGAAAGCAGAGATAAGATTTATATAGTTATCAAGGGATAGTCTGGGTTTAAAAAAACAAAAAGCTCGAGAAAGGCCATCCTATGTCTTTTTTTTCTTCACAGTTGTCAGAGTTCATTATGTGCTGAGATAGTCCAGGTAGTATTTTTCCCCAAAGGTAAGAACGACCATTTTATAAAGACTAGATATTAAAGAAACATTGGAAAGTAAGGCCTCTTACGTATTCTGAGTTTTCCAACCTGTATTTATGACTTAACAGTGCAAGGCTAATCACTGGTTGTTACCTCACATTCTCCTTTTGTTTAATGAGTTAAATGTAGTTCTATGTGCCATAAATTACTTTAATAAAGATGATAATAATGGTGATGTTGAAACCAAATATTTTGACACAATGCTTTGCTATAGCCATTTTAGCAAAGAGAAGGCTAAAATCTGAGGTAAGTCCCCACATTCTGCTCTTATATTGCTGCGGAAAAAAAAAAAAAACTTAATAAATCTAGCATTTGTGTTGCACATTTAATAAAAAGATTTAAGCCATATCACTGTAGCTGCTGGGCATCTTATTTCTTCCAGAATTCTTTCAGTGCATGCATTAACTTTGGTTAAATTATTCTGGATTTAAAAGGCAGAAGAAGATTTAAAATAGTATGGTTTCAGGAGCATCACTGGAACAGACCAATTTCAAAAGATTCCATCGCTAAATTTTACTTCTTCATACTGTCTTTGTAGACTGGTTATTTAGATTTTAAGAGGAGAGAATCGTGTGTTGTTATCTGCATGGTCATTAGAGTCTCACACAAAAAAAGAAGAGAACAATAAAATCAGACTAAGAAATCATTCTTCCAATGATTGTCATTGAACTGTTACACTAGTAAACATTCACAGTATGAAGTCTCTCAATCTCCAGCATACAAAGTAGTGCAAAGGAAAAAAAAAAAAAAAAACATTCCAGTCCTGTTACCTGTGAGCAAACCTTGTTACATTTCCTCTGACTTCATTTCTTCCATATTAGGCAGTTGCTATCACCTCTTCCCCAAATTAATAATAAAATATAATCAATTTCTAAAGGCCTCTGCAGCCTTCCCAAAAGTTAATTTCCAGTTAAAAATAAACTTTAATTAAATCCAAGATAAAATCGTGACCTATATTCTATTAAATAATTTACTTTCTTTTTTTCCTACACAGTAATTCTTACAATTTTTTTAAAAAAACAACTACAGAATCCAAAGACATATGAGATGCTATTAAAGCACTGAGAAATGACTGCTCAAATTCATTAATTCTTACATAGTAAATACTTCAAAATGCCAACTTTTCCCATCACTGCACAAGTACTAACAATGTTGACAATTTACTTACACATACACACACCGCGCGCGCACACACACACACACACACACACACACATTCTCTGCGGGATTATCTTCACTGTTAACATCGTTTCCGGTTATTGTGCAAAATTCTTTCGTTCTAATAAAAAATATAAAGATAGATTTGCTCCTATGTAAGTCTCCCTCTTCTCCGAGATGTATCATGTATTTGATATGTAATACAAGTTTAGTAACAACGATGCCAGGTATAACCATTAAACGGCGTACTACTGTATGTGTTGGACTCATTTGCATATTTCATTTCATGACCGGCACTCTCAATGCGTAAATATATTTGGAGATGCTGGGGGGCAGGGGGCAGGACAGTGGCAGGTAAAGAAAGCGATTCACACGTCGGTCTCCACCGCCTTCGCGTTAGAGCAGTTGTTTTTGTCTGTCTCACTGTCGTCTCCCTTGCCCTGACACTTCTCCTCTTTTGCACACAGAGATTCCTTAACCCCTTCTTCCATCTCTAGGTACTCTGACTTGTCCCCCAAGGAGGAAGAAGTGGAGCTCCGAAACTTCTTGAGCAAATTAGAGGGGAGGTACGGACAGCTGACTGCATTCTGGGTCAGCTGCGTCTGCTCCTCGTTTTCCGTCTCTCTGTGGTAGAAATAATTAAAGTTAGAGACAATCACTGGCACTGGCAAAGCGATGGTTAACACACCTGCAATGGCACACAGGGACCCCACGATCTTGCCCCCCACGGTGATGGGCTTCATGTCCCCGTAGCCCACGGTTGTCATGGTCACCACGGCCCACCAAAACGCATCTGGGATGCTTTGGAAATGGGTCGTGGGCTCATCCGCCTCTGCGAAGTACACGGCGCTGGAGAAGAGGATGACCCCGATGAAGAGGAAGAAGATGAGCAGGCCCAGCTCGCGCATGCTGGCTCGGAGCGTGTGCCCCAGGATCTGCAGGCCTTTGGAATGCCTGGAGAGCTTGAAGATGCGGAAGACCCGGACCAGGCGGATGATCCTGAGGATGGCGAAGGACATGGCCTGCTGCTGCTGGCCGTTGCCGCCCCCCTGCTGCTGGGCCAGGTCGGTGCCCAGGGTGATGAAGTAAGGCAAAATGGAGACGATGTCAATGGTGTTCATGATGTTTTTGAAGAAGAGTGCTTGGCTGGGACAAGCAAAGCAGCGAACCACAAACTCGAAGGAGAACCACACGATACAGACTGTCTCCACGATGAAGAAGGGGTCGTTGAATATCGTGTGCCCCGAGCTCTCCGGGTGGGGGGCCGAGGTGTCATTGGAAAACCCACCATGCCCGCCGGTGCTCAGCGCCATCACCAGATCCCTGTCGTCCCGGAACTCGGGCAAGGTTTCCAGGCAAAAGATGACGATGGAGATTAAGATGACCAGGACGGACACGATGGCGATGCCCCTGGCGGGACTGGAGCTCTCCGGGTATTCGAAGAGCAGCCAAATCTGCTTTTTGAACTCGTTCTCCGGCAGGGCCCTGTCCTCCTCCTCCCGCACGAAGCCTTCATCCTCCCGGAACTTGAGCAGGGCCTCCTCTCCCAGCTGGTAGAACTTCACCTCCTCGGTGAAGATGTCACAGGGGACATTGACCGGCCTCTTCAGGCGGCCTCCGGATTGGTAATAATACAAGATAGCATCGAAGCTGGGTCGGTTCCTGTCGAAAAAGTACTCGTTGCGCAAAGGGTCGAAGTATTGAGTCCTCTTCTCGGGGTCGCCCAGCAGAGTCTCCGGAAACTGGGCCAGAGTCTTCATCTGGGTCTCGAACCGCAGTCCGGACACGTTGATCACCACGCGTTCGCAGCAGTCACTGTAGCGGACCGAGCTGTAGCCCCCGCCGCCGTCGTCCTGTGGCAGCAGGTCGGTGTAAGAACCGCACTCACCATCGCCACCTCCATGGTGGTGGCTCGGGGGAATGGCTGCTTCCAGTTGTAGAAGAAGAAGAAAAATAGGGCAGCTTCTTTTCTCACCAAATTAAGGTAAGTTTGGAACCCTTCAGCAGATTGCTTGGAAGACGAAGGATATTTTCAGTCCAAGTTTGCATTTTCTGTTTTTAAATCAGCACACCCCATGCTCTTTCTTCCCGGGGATCCAGCATTGCTCTCTAGAGCGAAGGCTGCTGGCCACCAATAGCCTCGTGCTGGAGCTGAGCTCAGAGAACGCTGGGGTCTCCCAGATACCTAGGTTTTCCGGCTGGTGTTCAAATTTGGAAAGTTGTCGAGGGTATGGTTGCCCGATGCTGCCAGATTCAAAGGCAGCGAGTATCTGACGGCCAGCCGTTGTGCCTAAAAAATGAAATAGATTTTTCTGCCATGGAAATTGTCCAAAGCTCAGTCCATCAAATTTAAATAAAATGCAAATAAGCCTTTAGTCTTAGCATTTGCCTTCTAGTGACAGCCTGACCCCTGTGAAAATGTGGCTTGAAGAGCATCCAGCCATTGCTGCTCAAAGTCTATCAGGAAGATTCTCCAGGCTCTCCCCTTGGGTTCATCAAAGGAGTCCTGGGCCCAGGAGCAAGGCCGAGCTACAGACAGACGCAAAGCCCTTGGGAGGTAGAGAAGGTGCAGGGTGAAGTGCCAGCAGAGGCAACACCAGCTCTGAGGTCTCCATAGAAGTTGAGGACGTGCAGAGCATCCTCAGCTAAAAAAAAACTCTTCACCTGGAAAGGACGGGACACAACACGGGAAAGTCAAGAGACGGCAGATCATCAAGGGCAGAGTGAGCGTTGCACATCACACACTCTTCCTTCCCTGTCCTCTAGCAAATCCCACGGCATACCAAGTGCCCAGACACTCCCAAGCGTCTAAGGCAGTCTGGTCTTAAAGCTCCTTCTTAGTAAACACCCGCCTTTCTTTCTTTGGTTAGGGTTTCAGCTCAGTCTATTTTCATGGCAACTCAATTATCTTTGCTGCTCCGCTCTCGAGCCACATGGCTCTTGGTTTCCCCTTCCCCTTCACCAATGCCAGGTCTTAACTATCACTGCCATCGTCTTCATTCCGCAAACACCATGCTGTTACCTTACAGCTGTCTCCATCATTCCTTGATCTCAAGACATTTGTAAAAATGTCCACTCATAACATGTTTCTGAATTAAATGCCCTTCGGGAAGTTAGGGTGGCAGTTGAGGGGGGGGGAGGGAAGCAGTTTTGTTTAAGGCAGGCTCCACCATTTGAATAACTTTCGGTCACTTCCATCTATAAGGCGTAGGTAATAGTACAGCCTTGTCTGTCACACGTTTGTAAGGATTAAATGAGGTAATGGGTGTTGACAGGCTAGCCCGGTGGCTTGTACGTAATGACTGGCAGCACGCACTAGCAGTTATGAATAGCGTGACGGTAATCCATGGTCGTACCGCTATCTACCCATCAGCAAACGTGGACATCCTTGTGCCACCGTCCGAAGGAGGGGAAGACAGAACAGGAGGACTTCACGACGATCCGATGCTCACCGAAGGTCTGCACTAAATTGGCCTTCCCTGGCTCTCTGAAGCAAGTCCTTGATTTTCTGTTCCCAGATTCCTGAACACTCCCTACCACCCACAGCTTAGGAGTTAACCCCAGTTTCCACGTGTCTAATAAACATCTTCTCTCCTGCGTGTCCTCCATATTCACTTCAGTGGTTTTCCAACACGCTTCCCAAGGGACTCTCTCCTTACTGTTCAAATCCCAGTTGGTGTGGACAGTGTTTTCAGTCTGCCACACTCTGCTCCCCTATGATTCAATCCACACCTCCCACCCCCTAGTCCTCCCTTTTCTCCCCCTCTCTACTTCTGTGTCTCTCCTTTCCCCCTGCCCTCTGTCTCTCTCTTTCTGCCCACCTTTAATTCCAGCCTTTCACTTCTTGATCACATATTTATCACAGCCCCAGTCTGCTCCCCATACCTGGCATTCC